GGGTGTGGCAAAGGAGAATTAGGGTGGTAGCAGTGGCAGAGGAGAGTGATCTGAAGGAAAGCACGCATTGGGGGCGGCAGGTGCGCCAGCAAACCAGAAAAGAATCAAGGGGTGAAGTAGCAGAGGAACGACCTTTGAAGAAGACCAGCCAGCTTGTGGCTCTCAACCTGGTAGTCGTTGGAAAAGAAACTACGCAGGAAGATAAGGTGCTGGGCTATGGTGGGTGGGAGACCGCAGGTGGTAACTTCTTTTGCCAGTGGGAGCTGGTAGGGGTCAGTCTGGGGGGGGAAAAAACAGAAAAATCAGAAACTTAAGGGTTCACCCTGGAGAGTTGTGGGCCCTTCGTTCCCCTGCCCTCAACGCTCAATCATCATGAATGTATATGATCTACATCCCCGTCTACTACTGTAGGTTCACTCATACTGACCAAAACGGTGCTATGTTCGGAGGAAGATGGCATCACCTGGAATGTGACCCTTTAGAGAGGAAGGTAACTTGAAGCTGCTGAGCTATGGTGCTTGTGCAGCGTCTCTAATCTAATTAAATTAAATTAAATTAGATAAGATATTAAGATTAGAATATAATGTCGGTCCACATCTTTTTAGTAGTCAAAATATTTCCGGGGCGAAAGAGCAGGAGATGACTTCTGTTCTGTGGGAGCTATACCTAGTATTAGTGTCATCCTTTGGCACGGCGGGCTGTTAGTGTGACTCGTGCGAGTCTTTTCCGGTCGTAACAGTTGCGGTCCTTTGGTGGAGAAGTGGTGGAGTATGTTATTTGTACAGTAAAGAATTGCACTTTTTTTGTGGTTTGGCAGATCAGGGGAGTGGAGGCAAGTGGGTGAGCGAAGATTCCTCGAACTATTTCAATCTGTTCATCTAGGTCCATCAGGATTCGAACAAGGGTCAGCATCTCAACAGTTCATGGGTGTACCAACTGAGCCAAGCTAGCTGGTTAGCTAGCAATCCTACCAGCCGTGGTTCTTTTGTTTTTTTTGGGTTCTCGTCTTTTCAAAAATCAACTCATCCCTCAGCACTGGTTCTTTTGTCCCTAATATCACCCTCTTTTCTCTCTTCTAATCTAGGCGGAGGAGGTGTCTATTCTTCTGGGAGGAGGTCCCACGGGACTGGGTACTACTTAGCAGTGGCAAGCACCCACATAGTCTGACCAGAAGCAGCAAAGAATGTGACCATACTGCAGGCACTGTCAGTCATTGTCAGAGTACTGAGATTTGGGGGATAGTGTTCTAACAAGAGAATGGTGGTCACGGGTTGCCGAGAGAGCAATGGCATGTGTGTTTTCGGGAGACTTGTGTGGACATACCCACTCAGTCAGTAATTCAGTGCAAATGGACCCACTCAGTCAGTAATTCAGTGCAAATGGGGTCCTTAGAAGTTAGAAGTGAAAGGTTGGTCGCAATTTATAACTCAGTTAGTGTAAACGGTCTTGAGACGCGGTCAGCAATCATCCACTTCAATGATGGACACTATTGGGCCTGGTCAGCAATCATCCACTTCAATGATGGACACTATTGGGCCTGCTCAACTGTTTTGATTCTATAGATCACAAAGTCATCATGCAAATTATCGAAAACGAGATAATTGCCTGTGAGAAATTCCTAGCGCTGGTGAAAGGGTCGCTTAAAGCGGGATACAAAATCAATGTAGGCAAAGTGCATATTCCCGTAACTCCACACAAGCTCTCTTGCGAGAGCCTGTGCTTCACACCTCTAGGTTGTATATCCGCGTACATGACCTCTGTACAGGGACTCTGAGACACTTCTTTTCAAGTGACATCATAGGTAGCAGCTTTGTGGCTTTGTACCTCTTTGCAAGTGACATCATAGGTAGCAGCTTAGTTTGTGGATTTCCGGTGATCAGTTGTTCTAAAGAGGAGGGGAGGGGAGGGGAGGGGAGGGGAGGGTGTAGGGGTAAGCTGGTCCGTGTCTAGGAGGCCCTGTTCAAGACCTGTTGAAGACCTGGTGCTCCCCTGAGACGTGGCCCATGTCTACCGTCTTCACCCAAATAGAACGCCCGGTCATTATAGCCGTATCTGGTGCAATTTTCAGTCCAGATGCAGCTATAATGACCGGGCGTTTCTATTCGAGTGAAGATGGTAGTTGAAAGTCTGGACTTCCTGATAGCAGACTTCTTTGTTGGAAGATCGGACCTTCTCACCGCCGGGAGGGCGCAGCGCTCTCAGCAGCGCTGCGCCCTGGGCATCACTCTTCCTGAATGCGGTCACGCCATAGCTGTGTGTTGCTCTCTTTGAATGCGGTCGCACCATCGCCGTTCGCGTCAGTACACCGAGGCACGTTGCGCTCGCGCCATCGCGCGAATTAATGTTGCAAGCAGCTTTTTAGTGGAAACCGCGCGCGTCGCTCCTGCCCTGCTTCTTGGAGGACATTATGTGAGAGTATGCGACGACAAGGGTGGGGAAGTGGTGATTGCTATCTCCTAACTGAGTGGGGTCACTGGACACAGCCATGACAGGCTGGCGGGTGTGCTCATGAGTACGCTTTGGAGGAAAGGGAGTGAAATGCTCCTTTCGTATCCATCTGGACCATTGTTCGGGCGGGAGATCTGAAAGGAGGAAAAGTGTGAACGGGTAGATGAGAGTGTAAACTGCACAGCAGGTAGTGATCACGAACTACTATATATCCGATGAGGTTACTCTTCAATACGTATGGAGGAAGTATAATCGTCAGGTTGTCATCTCCATTATCTTCATCATTATCATCATTATCATCATTATCATCATCGTCATCATCATCATCATCATCATCAGTATGGAGGCTGGCGTGCTTTATTGGTTCCAGCGGAATGGGTACGGCAAACTTGCGTCATCATCATCACCATCATCATCAGCAACAGCAGCAGCGTTATTGACATCTTCATTGGTGTGTCATCATCATCATCATCTTCATCAGTGTTATTGACATCAGCAGCGTTATTGACAACAGCAGCAGCGTTATTGATATCAGCAGCGTTATTGACAACAGCAGCAGCGTTATTGACAACAGCAGCAGCGTTATNCAGCAGCGTTATTGATATCAGCAGCGTTATTGACAACAGCAGCAGCGTTATTGATATCAGCAGCGTTATTGACAACAGCAGCAGCGTTATTGACATCAGCAGCAGCAGCAGCAGCAGCAGCGTTCTTCATTGGTGCGTCATCATCATCATCATCATCATCATCATCATCATCATCATCATCATCAGCAGCAGCAAAAGCATTACTGACACTATCATCATCATCATTATCATTGTGCATCATCTTTGGTTCGTCATCATCATCATCATCATCGTTATCATCATCATCATAGTTATCATCATCAGCATCATCATCATCATCATCATCATCATCAGTATCATTTATCAACATCATCATCGTCATTGCCATCATCATAATCATTATCATTATTACCATTATGAGGATGTTTTTGCTTTTTAAGGCATTGTTTGCCTTGCGCTTCAGCAGGTGAGTGGGTCGTCACCATCAACCTCATTATCATTACTTTCAGGGGACTGTCCTTTGTCATCAACAAAATCCTACAAAATCTAAGTGAATGACATTTCAGTGAGGGGGAGGGGGAGAGCCCAGCTCTGAAGGGGTTTCATTAGGTGGGTGGTGAAACCCCGGAGGGGGATTGGGCAGATTGTGAGGATTACTCTTTTCTGGGGCTGGGCATCAAATCCCAGCGGGGGCAGATTAGGGTAAAGGGATAGATAAGGGAATGGAGAGAATGGAGGAAGGAAGGGAGAGGGGAGATCACGTCATCATCATCATCATCTATGTTATTTCATGCTTTCTGGTGTGCGGTAATTCTTGGCTGTATCTGGCCTCCTTCCTTAATCAGGACATAGGATTTCAGAGATGATCGAATCTGGACTGATATCTTCATAGTTGCTTTGTCGTTGCCCCTGGTTTGGCGATGCCAGAACRACGCTGGCCAGAGCTGGGGCGTTGCCCTGTAACCTGCAATTGGCAGGAGTGTGAGGCCTTGTARWGAGATCTGGGGATTAGCCGAGGGAGGAAGGCAATCCATTGGCGAACCGGGGGGGCTGTCTTTGACTACCTACGGGGCCAAGGTTAGTCTAGGTGGCGAAAACAGGTCAGCTATGGTRGACATKGGCTARGAGGGTATTGTCTCWGAGATGTAATGTCCTGGTGCAGGGAKGGCTGGGAGGGTCTAGGATTAGGAGGCCAGAAGTGYTGTTATAATATACTCTTCGATACACTTATTCATCATCATCATATTCATTTTTATCATCGTCATCTTCATCATCATTAGTATCATCATTTGATTATTGTTATATWAAGYTTTTTTGTGCTCTGAAATTTTGGCAGCTTCTAGCCTTCTTTYACATYCGGGATATAGAACTTCAGAGATGAATGAACCTGTACTGATATTTACTGAGTTGCTCTGTTCTGTGCCCTTGGTTTGCCGATGCCAGAACGACGCTGGCCGGAGCTGGGGCGTTGCCCTGTAACCTGTAATGRCAGGAGTGAGAGGCCTTGTAGAGAGATCTGGGGTTTGCTGAGGGTGGAAGGCATTCCATGGTGAACCGGGGGGGGCTGCAAGGAGGCGAGAAGAGATCAGCTATGGTTGACATTGGTTAGGTTGGTTTTGTCTCTGAGGTACAATGTCCTGGTTTAGGGATGGCTAGGAGTTGTTTTAGGATTAGGAGGCCAGAATAGCGGATATAGCTTAATCTTCCATCTGTGGTATCCTTAGTATCATCATGGTCACCATCACCATCATAACCATTTGAGGGACGCTGAGCCCGGTTCTCCGCAGTTTCGGTTCGATCACTCCGGGCAGACTGTGAGGACCCCGGCTTCAATGTTCTTATTGGTAATATCAGCCTTGGGCACCGGGTCCTTGGAGTCCGACATGCTTGGAGTTTTCAGCCCTATTTCAAACCAGGGGGAAGGGGGTTCCAAGGGGACGGATAACCAGAGCCTGAGGCCCTGAGTTCTGTGGAGCTTGTTACCTTTGGCCCTCAGCTGGTCAAAGTCCAGTCTGTGGTGTACGCCAGTGGCTTGATGGTTCATATGATGACAGGTTGATGTATACCGTAAGCAATGGTAGATTGTTGTAGATTGACGGGACTACTTTATGAATGATGCTTGTCTACGGATGTAGATCAATGATCTGGTGTGTGTGTGTGTGTGTGTGTGTGTGTGTGTGTGTGTGTGTGTGTGAGCACGCGCCCGCTGCTGGGAGTTTTGAACCCGGGACCTGGCAGTGCATGTATTGGCTTCTGCTTGCCTAGCATGGTACGATCTTCACACCCCCCCCCCCCTTCCCCCTCTTCCCCTTGAAGGGCAGGTGTTCTGCCACCAGGGTAGTAAAGAGCCCCTGATGATAGAAGCCTGCGGACTCACGATGGCTCCAATCTATTCGTGGGGAGCTGCACCTGCTGGAAACCGGGCCCAGCGTCCCTTGTCGAATATCCTGTGTCGAATATCGTCACACATGGTAATGGACTCCGACTTTTCTTTTTTTTTTTTTTTTTTTTTTTTTTTTTTTTGGGAAAGCTCCGAGATTGATTGACAGCCTGAATGCATTCCCCTGCACTGACCTTTTCACCTAACAAAGGCGGCAGATACAGAGTTCTTAGGGCAGACGGACACTAGGCACTGAAAATCGCAGAATCGCAAAATCAGTGGCCAGATCGAGTGCTCCTCGAAGAAGAACTCTCGATCTGGCCGCTCGTTTTGCTATTCTGTGATTTTGAGAGCCGAGTGTGAGTGTACTCTTATACTACGGCTACTGGTCGGTGTATCAATCCCAAGGGGAAGCCTCTGGCGAAGAAAGCTCGTATATCTGTACTACTAAAGTTAGATGACATTTGTCTGTTTTTTTGTTGTTTTTTTTTTGACATTTGTCTGACAAGACAGTGGTATGTATTGTGAACAGAGTAAAGCGCGCCTAGAATTATCGCCCGTGGCCCGATTGCCTAATCTGACACTTACCGGGGGGGGGCCTTGGCCCCATCAACGAAGACTTTTTTTTTTTTTTTTTTTTTTTTAAATCTAGACTATTTCTCAATTTATGCGAGTCGTCCTTGCGCGGGGGCCATGCTGATCTTCATTCTCTGTCTCATTCCAATTTTAACGGATGTCCATCAATGCAGGCTCGATGACAATACCAGTACCTTTTAAGGTTGAGCATTTTCTAAGGGCCTAGTTGCACTACTCACCATCCGTCGCATTTCGTGGCGGATCCGTGGAGAGTGAAAAATATGAGAATCGTGTCGAACTCGAGGCCTGGTTGCACGTACTCACCACGAGATTTCTTCTTCAGAAACGTTAAAAAAAATTGTCTCCCCCATGTCGACTCGTGAAGCCCTGCACTCTCCACAAAGCTGTTTTGTGGCGAGGTTCGAAGACCACCCTCCACAAACCGCCGTGCACAGGCGGGGAAACTGAATTCACTCTCCACAAGTTGTGTCGACGGTGTGGCGAGCCGTCTGACACATTTTTTGCATTCACCTAGTCTGGCGAGTAAGTGCAACCAGGCGCCTACTCTCCAAACTTGGCCTATGGCGGTAGTGCAACTAGTCCCTAACGTAAAGTTTCTCACCCCACGTCATGAAGAAGCGATCTGTCGCTTTTGGTTTTGTTTTGCCTGGCGCCGCCTTCCAGTTTGGTGTGCTTGCGACGAGCCTCTGTTATTTTAAAGACTCGATGGTGATTCTCAAGCTGGCTGCTGCCGTGTACTGGTGGTTTAAGACCCTTTTGTAAACAGTTTTCCAGTTGTTTGGATCAATCAAGACACCCATGGCCTTGCTATAGTGACTCATAGCTACTTCACCTGCCATGATTTTTTTTCCCTGAACTTTGCTAAAACTACGGTAGTGCGAACATAATGTTTGTTCGCAAATGAAAGCAGTACTACTAATTGAGAGTACAGTCATGCAGTGAAAATATGATGCAGATTGGGATTGCAGGTTCATGCATGCTTCTAGAAGGTGCAGGTGGTTGATAAGTTAAAAAAAAAGGGGTAATAACTTCAGTAGAGTCACAAAAACGAGTTATAATTGCACTATGGGGCAAGATACGGTTTGCAATTGCAGTTCGGGTACCGTACCTGGCCAGAAAGCTGGGTTGTATACATTGCCCAAACTGCAGTTCCAAACTGTATCTTGGCCCATAGTGCAATTATAACTCGTTGTT